TATTTATATATTTATTTTAAATTTCATTCAATTTATTTATTTTTTCCGGCAAATACGTTTTTTTTTCTAACATGCTTTTTTTAAAAGCTTATTGAAAATAATTTTTCCATATTTATAAAGAATATGATATTTAAGGGCAACAACACTTGCCGTAGCATTAAACTAACAAATCGATTGAACACGCTCCGAGCAACGTAAAGAAAAACTTTCACCTCCAACTGGGCAACAACAACACAAAACAGTAACAACAACAACAGCAACAACAGCCCATGTTGACAAAGTAGAAGCCGCAAAATGCCAAAGAAACGAACAACAATAACAACAACAAAAGCCACAAACAAATGTCTGCCATGAATGAAAGTTACAGAAAGACTTGCTTTAGGCTACGCTGAAGAAAAAAAAAATCAAATAAATAAATATAGATAGATATACGTATATATATGGAAGTCAAAGTCATGGAATTTGTAAGACAAATTGAGCAAAGCAATGTGGTTAGAAAATCGGTTAAGGCATGCGACAACAAGAAATGTTTGGTTAGTGAAAGAGAGCGCGCGCGCAAGAGAGAGAGAGAGAGAGAGACACTTTTTGCCTTTTGTGGGCAATTAATAATGAATAAAACAAACATTGAATCCAGCATCGAAGTCAAATCGAATACGAAGCCCCAGGCAAGGCGTTAATTGGCATGCCAAAAGAGCCACAAAAATGAGTTCACATATACACACACACACACGCACACACAGACAGTGCTGCTGCTAAGGTGCGGCCTTTGAAATTCTTTGGCCACACATTTGGGTCAGTGGGTGGCCCAAAAAGTGGCTGCCACTGCAGCTCGATGCTTGGCTCTAGCCCCACTGCACATTTCCATATGGCTGTCAATGCGTGCGCCAGTTACAATCGGATCCCCCTGCCCGCCCCGCCCTGTGACCAGCTCCAATGGCTGCCGTTGGCACGACCAGGTGCTACTCGCTTCGTCTACCTGTCGGTTTCTTCAAGCCCGTTGCGTGCGCTTTGTTTGTCTTGGCTTTTTCATGCAAAGTTGTTAACTCGCTTAACAAAATAAAACTTCTTCATGCTGGCCACTTTTAAGAATTTTATGCTTCAGGTTCTGTTATTTTGTTG